TATAGGTTAAAAAAATAAGTTAATCATCGTTTTTACCTGTATGAGAATGATTTTTTATGGATCGAATCAGTCAACGAAATGGTTCTCTTTTGTTTCACTTTCAATGTTGACAGTCTTTTCATTTAAATGGCTGAACACTACTAACCAATCTCTAGCTAAATGGGTTAAATTGGAGGTCACATGAAAACGGATTCAATGAGGTCCAATTATTCACTTGCAAGTGAATAATTCATCAGCCATGTTTCTTTGCTTATTTTGACATAATTGAACCAAATCGGCTGCTAAAAGCGAATTATTATTTCATTATTTCATTTTTATTAATGATTGAACAAAAAAAAATCACATTCTAATTTTTTTCATATCTCGTAGCTAATGCCCCTTTAAAAGTATAAATATACTCGCTGAAAGTATATTGATGTAAAGTGTATCCCTATAGAATCATCCTTATTCTGACATGATCCGCTACTTATATTGATGGCTGTATTATATTTGAATGTGTTTGTATGTTTCACAATCATTCAAGTACACCATGTACAATAAATGTTATACATCAATATCATTTTTTGCAAAAAGGTATTTTTCTGCTTAATAATTAACTTTAGATATTTTATTTTTTATCTTATGATCTCCGTTACTTAAATAAAAGTTCTACATTTTGAACTTTTTAATTCAATAATGTCACAACCATATAAATGAAAATACTGAATGGTTATTTAAAACTTTGTTTATAAGTTTATGATCTGTAATTTCAAACCATGTCATGTATCAATAAACATCTGAATACTTGGTATGCAGTTAAATGACTTAAATAAAAGTTCTACATTTTGAACTTTTTAATTTAATAATGTCACAACCATATAAATGAAAATACTGAATGGTTATTTCAAACTTTGTTTATAAGTTTATGCTCTGTAATTTCAAACCATGTCATGTATCAATAAACATCTGAAAACTTGGTAGGCAGTTAAATGACACACATAATTATCCTTTTTAATATTTAGCAACTTAGCAGAACATGAGTAATTGTGTAAGACATAATAGTGTTCTGTAAAAAAGTGTCCACCTGGACAGTTTTTGATAGAATTTTGGTATTAAATAATGTCCATTGCCATGAAATATTGTCCCTCAAGTGGACAGATTTTTACTGCAAAAGTTATGAAATAGTGTCCACCCAAGGACAAGTTTTCATAGTAGTTGCTATTAAATTGTGTCCTCAAAGGGAAGTAATACAAAGGTCATTAAAAAGTTTTATTATACTTGAATTTTAATAAAATCTGAAAGATTGATTAGAAATTGATTAATATACAAATGTAAACAAACAAATAATGGATGGAAGCAGAGACATATAAATACATTAGTATATATGTCTCTGATGGAAGTGAATTATATAGAGACATTTAAGTTCTAAGAAATACCCAGCTAATGCTAATATGACAATGAAAGAAGAACAATAAGAAGGAAGTGTGTAAAGTATAAAATCAAATGTGAAGAACTATACTATATTTATTATGAGAAGGCAAAAGAAAATATAGAATTTTGGTATGAAATAATGTCCATTGCCATGAAATATTGTCCCCTAAGTGGACAGCATTTTACAGCAATAGTTATGAAATATGGTCCACCTACAGGACAATTTTTCGTAGCAACTGTTGTTGAATTGTGTCCTCCAAGGAAAATTATACTGAACAACATCTGTTACTTGTTGGAATTTAAATCATTATACATGTATATATATATTAAAAAGTATAAATAAGAAGATAAGGATGGTATGAGTGCCAATGAGACAACTCTCTGTCAAAGTAACAATGTATACAATTATAGGTTAAAATACTCCCAGTAATAACCAGGCAATGGATATCATTTTTATAAATACTTTAATCATATCAAAAAATGTCCTGGCGGACATAATGTCCTGTGAAAAAATTTCCACCTGGACAGAATTATAGTATTAAATAATGTCCATGTTCATGGACACTTTTTCATACCTGAGGACATATTTTCATAGGAAATAGTGTCCGGGACACATTTAAATAAGTATTAATCTATGGACTTTTTCATATTGGCCCTGTAACATGCCCGAGGTATTAATAATGGCCAAGGATGGTTGTAATGCCCCACACTCCACTCTGAAGTAACTGTATTATAACAAAGTCAATGTAGGACTTTCTTTGAGATATTATTGTGTCTGGGAGACACAAATGATGCCCCCGCAAATGCAAAGTGTTATTTTAAAATACACAAAGTTGAGCATGGGAGTACTTAGGTCTATGGTTCACTGTTATCCAGAAACGCTATGCACCTCTTATGCAAGTAAATACTCCTTAATTGACAAAGTTCAACTATCTCCCAAAAGAGCAAAAATTATCAAAAATTAAAACCCTGACCACGTGCACACCTTCAATATATGTACAAACAGCCAGCAAAGTGAAAACTTCCTAGCATTCAAACTGTAGGAAGAGTTATCCAGAAACGCTATGCACCTCTTATGCAAGTAAATACTCCCAAAAATTTCAACTATCTCCCAAAAGAGCAAATATTAATAAAAATCAAAACCCTGACCACATGCATTGTCACGAAATAAAAGTTCCTTCATAATATAAGTTCCAAATGGAAAAAGTATTCTGGAATATTATTTCCAGTGGAATAAATATTACAGGATATGTTCTTAAAGGAATAAATGGTATAGAATATTTGTTCCAACAGGAACAGATATTATGACATTTTTTATAACAAAGTTTTTAGTGGAACATCTGTTAGGCGGAACAAATATACGTTGACAGCACACCTTCAATATATGTACTCATGTAGCATTCAAACTGTAGGAGGAGTTATCTGGAATAACTATATACCCATAATGGGACAGACGGACGGACAGGGGGAAAACAATATGCCCCCCAACTTTGAGTTGCAGAGGGCATAGAAAAATACTGAAAGGAAAATGTATTTTCAAAAGTTTGATTCAGACATTATCTTTTAATCATAAAAAAAGCTTCTGCCAAAGTTTCATAAAATTCTATGAAGGTTTGACAAAGTATTTGATGTGTAACAAGCTTTAACCCCAGACTGTATCTACTTGTTAACTGTAAAAAAAACTAAGTGCATTTATCAGTATCATAGCAAAAAATGAAAATAAATATTTTAAAAATTTTGCTCTGGATACTGTATTTTGGTCATTAACAATTCAAGCTTCTATCCAAATTTCATAAAATTCCATGAAGGGTTTGACAAAGTAATTGATGACTAAAAAACTTTAACCTCAGACTGAATCTGAATTTTAACTGTAAAAAACTAAGTCAATTTATCAGTAAAATAAAAAAAAATGAAAATAAATATTTTCAAAATTTTAATCTGGATACTGTGTTTTGGTCATAAACAAGCTTCTGTCCAAATTTCATACAATGCCATGAAGGTTTGACAAAGTTATTGATGTCTTAAATAAACTGTTATCACAGAGATATATGTCTTGCCTTTTTGTAATTTTGATAATACAAATGTTAAAATTAAAATAGCAATACTTTAACATGTAAGTTATGCAAATGTTCAAAGTCGATGAACCATGACTGAAGGTACATGGCTAAACAATCTCCATGGAATGAGATGTGCCAATGCTAATACAACTGCATACCAAATACCATTGACTTATTATAAATCGTTCCCTTTAAACAAACCAAAACACAAACATTAACTTGTAAACTATGTAAAAGTTTCAAAGTCAATGAACCATGATCAGGGGTGGGGCTATATAATCACCATGGAAATGATACTTGCAAATGCCAATAAATTTGCATACCAAATATCATTGACTTAACATTAGCAGTTCATCTGTTACTGATCTAATCACAAACTAATACATGTAAACTAAGCAAAAGTTTCAAAGTAAATAGACCATGACTGAGGGGGCATGCCAAATATTCTCCATGGAAATGAGATGTGCTAATGCTTATACAACTAAACACCAATTAACATTGGCCTACCACTAATGGTTCCCCTTGAACTGACCTAATCACAAACTAATACATGTTAACTTAGCAAAATTTTCAAAGTCTATAGACCATGACTAAGGGGGCAGAGCCAAATAATCTCCATGGAAATGAGATATGCCAATGCTTATACAACTGCATACCAAATATCATTGACTTACCACTAGTGGTTCCCCATAAATTGACCTAATCACAAACTAATACATGTAAACTATGAAAAGTTTCAAAGTCAATAGACCTTGACTGAGGGGGCAGGGCCAAATAATCTCCATGGTAATGAGATGTGCCAATGCTAATACAACTGCATACCAAATATCATTGACATACCACTAGTGTTTCACCATGAACTAGACCTAATCACAAACTTAATACATTGTTGATGCCGCCGCTGCCGCCGCCAACGGAAACAGCACACCTATGTCTCGCTTTTTGACTCCGTCAAGGCGAGACAAAAACTTTAACCACAGAAAGCAACATCCAGGATAGATGACAGAAGACAGATGATGGACACATGCCAATCAGGACAAGTAAGCACCATCCAGGACAGATGACAGAAGACAGATGATGGACACATGCCTATCAGGACAAGAAAGCACCATCCAGGACAGATGACAGAAGACAGATGATGGACACATGCCTATCAGGACAAGAAAGCACCATCCAGGACAGATGATAGAAGACAGATGATGGACACATGCCTATCAGGAAAAAAAAGCACCATCCAGGACAGATGATAGATGATGGACACATGTCTATCAGGACAAGAAAGCACCAGCGAGGACAGATGATGGACACATGCCTATCAGGACAAGAAAGCGCCATCGAGGACAGATCATAGAATACTGGACATCAAATCAGGCAGGTGATAACAATACATGCCAATTTAGCTGCAAAGGAGACACTTTATATATCTGAGTATATATTCATTGATCAATCATAATATATGTGGTACAGGTGTTATACTATTTTTACACATCCTTATATCTTAGTCTTAAATAAATATAATGTTAATTTACTTACTTTTGCTTTGCTAAAAGTTGCACATAATTTGTGTACTGAATCAGAGCATTAGCAACCTCTCCATACAATAACAGATTTAATGGCATACATGACCCCAGTCCAACTGCAAATATTGTCCCGAATATCAATATTACAACATCTATCTTGTCAGCATATTTAAACTGAAAAACAAAAAAGAACAGACACTGATTATACTTGTTTCAATGTATTCTAAAGTTGAAAATATATTGTTCACATAAAATTTTGACAAGCCTTTTATCATGTTTATGTAATTTTGATAGAATTATGCAAATGTTTTAATATTATTTTCAGAAATTATTGCGATGTTTTATGTATTAATGCGACAGTAAAAGATTTGCAATAATAAAAACCCTCATTCATAATTACAGTACCAATTTTTGCATTCCATAATCAGATTTCACATTTTTGCCTTCAATAATCAGATTTCACATTTTTGCCAGATATCAAGAATTCGCATTAAAAAATGTAAGCATTGATTTCTGAATTTAGAGTAGCAACACCTAAAGATGGTAAACTTTGCGTAGTATAAGGTCAATATAGCATGACTGAGGAAGTCAAGTAATCTCCATGAAAATTGAGATGTGTACAAATTGAATTAATACAACTGCCTACCAAAATATCATTGATTTACCATTAGTGGTTCTACTAAATGTGACATAATCAAACTTTGAAAAAGATAATAAAGACTATACCCAGAAAGTAGTACTAACTATTATTGAAATTTTAATGTATTTCAAACTGAAAGTACATGTAAGAATGTCTTGAAATGTTGCTTTAACTAAGAATGCAACTCCTTTCAACAAAGTTGAACAAAGTTAAACTGTTTTTGGTTATTATATTTAGGCTCTTTTTTATGTTCTCCTTTGCCATGAGTTGTCAGCATAATGAAATTGAATTTTTAATTGGTTCTTTTGATCAAAAATGTTTGTTAGTATAAGTACTTTCTCTTAAAATTAAAATGCATCTTTATGTTGGCATTAAAGGGGGAATACTCGCTAATTAAATCTTAACAAGAGTGCACACGCTGAAATGTCTCACCTTCTTTATTAATTATTGATATTATGTTGATAGTCCTAAAAATAAAGCTTTATTACAACTGTCAAATAAACTTAACATTAACCAAGAAAACTAAACATTGACCAATGAACATTGAAAATGAGGTCAAGGTCAGATGAACCATGCCTGGCAGGCATGTACAGCTAACAATTCCTCCATACAACAAATATAGTTGACCTATTGCTTATAGTTTAAGAAAAACAGACCAAAACACAAAAACTTAACACTGAGCAATGAACTGTGAAAATGAGGTCAAGGTCAAATAAAACCTGCACGACTGACATATAGATCATAAAATATTTCCATACACCAAATATAGTTGACCTATTGCATATAGTATTAGAAAAAAAGACCAAAACTCAAAATCTTAACTTTGACCACTGAACCATGAAAATGAGGTCAAGGTCAAATGACACCTGCCAGCTAGACATGTACACCTTACAATCATTCCATACACCAAATATAGTAGACCTATTGCATACAGTATAAGAAAAACAGACCAAAACACAAAGTTTAACTATAACCACTGAACCATGAAAATGAGGTCATGGTCAGATGACACCTGCCAGTTGGACATGTACACCTTACAGTCCTTCCATACACCGAATATACTTGACCTATTGCTTATAGTATCTGAGATATGGACTTGACCACCAAAACTTAAACTTGTTCACTGATCCATGAAATGAGGTCGAGGTCAAGTGAAAACTGTCTGACAGGCATGAGGACCTTGCAAGGTACTCACATACCAAATATAGTTATCTTCTACTTATAATAAGAGAGAATTTAACATTATAAAAAATGTTAACTTTTTTTCAAGTAGTCACTGAACCATGAAAATGAGGTCAAGGACATTGGACATGTGACTGATGGAAACTTCTTAACATGAGGCATCCATATACAAAGTATGAAGCATCCAGGTCTTCCACCTTCTAAAATATAAAGCTTTTAAGAAGTTAGCTAACGCCGCCGCTGCCGCCGCCGCTGGTTCACTATCCCTATGTCGAGCTTTCTGCGACTTCTGCAACAAAAGTCGCAGGCACGACAAAAACTGACCAATCCAAAAATTCCTAGTGTTGGTTTTTTGCTGGTCACCACTGTCACTTCAGTTTGTGTTTCACTGTAATGCACTCCATTTGATATTCCATTGGACTTTTCAAATTCATTGCCTTTACCATTAACATGGATGGTAATGTCTTGGGCAGATGATATTGAAGTCATTTTGTACACTACTTGTATTGTTTACAATGTATTTCTAATTACTGAATGTTGTTTTATTCAATCAAATTTCTGAAAAATAAAGAATCCTTTTAAGCAATAATAAAAACTTAATTTTCAAATCAAGAGTTTTAGTTATAAAAATAAGGAGATGTGGTATGATTGCCAATGAGACAACTATCCACCAAAGTTCCAATGAAGTGGATGTTAGCAATTATAGGCAATCGTACGGCCTTCAATAGTGAGAAATAACCCATACTGTATAGTCGGCTATAAAAGGCCTAGTAAGACAACAAATTAAATTGAGAAAACAAGCGGCCTAATTCAAAACAAAACAATTTATAAAAAAAACAAATATGACAGATATGAACTGCAGGCTCTGGACTTGGGACAGGCACATAAAGAATGTGGCTGGGTTAGTCTATTCTTGGTATTCATGTTTAAACTTCCAGACAAATAGAAAAACTATTAAATTGACATTTAAACTACCATCTTATAATTCTTAAATCTTTTAATGAGGTGGGTGCTGTTGTACTTGAAATGTTTTGGGTTTTTTGGTGAAAAAAGAGGGAATCTATACTGTAACTAGAGGCTCTTAAGAGCCTGTGTCACTCACCTAGGTGTATGTGCACAATTCAACAATGGACACTCTCCAACATTGTAGACTAGAATAGAATTCATGACAAAAATCTCTTATTTGTTGACCTTATATTAATGATCATTTTTTCTGTTTACAGTTTCTCTCTATCTTCTTTCATTTTTGCTTCAAAAGGGCAATAATTCATAATATGGGCTGGGTGAGGAAAAAAGTGATAATTATTTTAAAGAAACAAATGGTTGTCAGTTAAAGGAACATATTCCTTGGATCCCAACCTCTGGCTCCACACAAGCTTCCGAGATCATGTGTAGGAACTAGATAACATAATAGGCCTTCAAGTTATCAGTTTCAGATAGCCAGACTGTCATTATTCAAATGAGTTATCTAACGTGAGAGTACCCAAATTGCACCTATTTTGACAGTTTTTTCACCTACGTTTATTTATGATCTAGACAAAATGTTCCATTCTGTGTTTATTTTGTAGATGTATCATTTTTTACTATATGGTTCCACAAATTTAATTTTGAATCCATATTGAATCATAGAAAAATGGGTTTGAACAGACCTCCAAACGATCAATGATTCTGTAAAGAGGAGTACCCAAATTGCATCCATGCTACAATTCACATCCTTAAAAGTCGAATAACAGATATTTTGTTTTATTTCTTTCAATATTTAGAACAATTTGACATCAGTCCAATGCTTACTATTCATTTTTTAAGAAATGAATGCTTGTAACATATTTTATTTGCTAATTTTTAAAAGATGACTTTTTTTGGATGTCGCATGGCGATGTTTCCGTACATTTTACTTTTTCCAGTGAACACTTCATCTGTTTATATATACTGTGAACTTTTTGTGAATATTTTTACCTAGAGTCAAATCATAAAAATACAAGTTGTAGTCTCTAGGAAAACTTGTAAGATTTCCTCTGCTATAAATAGGTGCAATTTGGGTATTCGGTGCAATTTGGGTACCGTGACGTTAAATGAAAACACAGTTATCTCATATTGATAGATAAGAAGAGAAAATGCAACAATTCATCAAGAGGGGATTTTATAAGGAATGCCAGACACATGTGAATTATTTACTGTGACTTTACTAAAAGTGTTGTTCTCTACCTATTGCAGTTCATTTTAAATTCTGACTGAATTGCAATTGGTTAAATTATCAAAACAAACCATTCAACCTGTTCAACTGGTCAGAAATTTAAAAAAAAACTGCTGTAGAAAAACAGTCAAGTCATCAAAGTGCAAGTTGATAAAATAAAGCATACTTAAGTTTCAATCATGTAAGACTTTAATTCTGCTTTATTGCTATATTGGTATACTTTAAAAGATACCCTGAGTGCTTTATGAATATTCAAAAGGAAATTTTTCTCTTCTTTTAAAATGTTCGAATTAATTTCAAATGTAATATTACGTACACATGTATAAGTATATTGCAACTTATCTTAATAAGTTACTTAATTTTATTTAAAAACAAAAAAGAGGAAACGATGCAAAGGGGGCAATCAACAGAACATCGGTTGAAAAAGACTCACCTTGGCCAAAAAATGAAAACAACGAAAATACAAACAGAAGTCCCCATAAACACTACAAAGAAAAGTAAAGATTTAGCATCAGGAACCATACTAAAACAGTGGTGTTTTAACTATATTGAAATAAATTGAATTATTTTTTTATAAGACGTCTGGCAGTAACATGTAAAAGACATTCCTATCCTCATATATTTATCACAAAATATTCATCATAACCATGATAACACTACCATCAGACAAATATATAATTATGATCCTACCTTTGTGAATTATTCCAATAAAATAAAATTATGTTGTACAGCTTTTTTAAATGTTGAATTTTCCTTGCATCAGAATGTTACCTAACACTCTATAACCCTTATCAATTGCATTCCACCTAAAACACAATTTCACATTCCACCTATCGAACCCGTTATGACAGTGTTCCTGATCAGCGTACTAACTTTTGACCTTCTAGTAATCAATTATTATTAGGTCAATGCAGGAACATACTGTTCCCAGGTCAATGTCAGAAAAAAAAATCGACTTTTATTATAAAAATAAATGTTAAGAAATAATGGTTTATCGAGCCCTCCGCAGTAAAACATATACACGAGGTGTATGTCTATACGAATCACCATACTTCAGCTTTTAAAGTTAACAAAGTGATACACATGTATAAGTATATATCAGTCAGAATGTTTTTCAAGTCTATGAAGAAATATGGCAAGCCAAAGTGGACAAAAAGACATTTTTATACGACCGCAAAAAAATTTTGTGGTCGTATATTGGTATGACGTTGGCGTCGTCGTCGTCGTCGTCTTCGTCGTCCGGCGTCGTCGTCCGAAGACACCTTGGTTTTCGCACTCTAACTTTAGTTTAAGTGAATGGATCTTTTTGAAATTTGACCATAAGGTTAAATACCACAAAAGGAAGGTTGGGATTGATTTTGGGGGTTATGGTACCAACAGTTAAGGAATTAGGGGCCAAAAAGGGGCCAAAAATAAGCATTTTCTAGTTTCCAGACAATAACTGTGGAACGGTGTATGGATCTCTCTGAAATTATACTACAAGTTTCTATACCACAAAGGGATGGTTAGGATTTGCTTTGGGGGGTTATGGCTCAAACCGTTTAGGAATTAGGGGCAAAAAAGGGGGAAAACAAGGTTGTCCTGGTTAATGGACAAATACCTTAGTACAAAACATAATTTAAAGCAGTGTAAGGGAGATAAATCAAATACATCATTGAAATTATCTCCCTTACACTGCTTTTAAATTAATGGTTAATGAACAATAAAGATAATTTAAAACAGTGTAAGGGAGGTAATCCAAATACAATGTTTTGGTTACTTCCCTTACACTGCTTTTAAATTATGTTTAAAGAAATACATATTTATAAAGGAAGACCAGTAAAAATATCTGCAAATGTTGCATCTTTTTTTTTACAAAAAAATCCATATGAAAGATTTGACACTATATTTTTAATTCTATTATAAAATAGATTAAGTTAGCACTATGGTAAATTTAAATGGGTAATTATGGTTGCCAACTCCATTGGAAATTTGAATTGAGATTATGACCATATTTTGAGGGAAAGAATTTTTTTGGGGAAAAAAGGGGGGGGGGATAAAAAGAAATTGTGGGGGGTCAATTTTTTCTCATTCAGATTTCAGAAATTAAAAAGAATTATTCTTCAAATATTATTTTTTTTTCAAATTTCAAATATTGAAAAATTTCAAGAAGTAATCTTTAATTGCACAGTATGGCGCATTAGATTTGTAAAATCTTTGATCACATTAATTTATTTGTTATGCCGAATCTAACAGTGTATTTAGATTTTTAATTTTGGGTCCAGTTTTCAAATTGGTCTACATTAAGGTCCAAAGGGTCCAAAATTAAACTTTGTTTGATTTTAGCAAAAATTGAATATATGAGGTTCTTTGATATGCTGAATCTAAACATGTATTTAGATTTTTGATTTTTGGCCCAGTTTTCAAGTTGGTCCAAATTGGGGTCCAAAATTAAACTTTGTTTGATTTCAACAAAAATTGAATATATGGGGTTCTTTGATATGCTGAATCTAACCATGTATTTAGATTTTTTATTTGTGGACCCCGTTATCAAATTGGTTCATATTGAGGTCAAAAGGGTCCAAAATTAAACTTTGTTTGATTTCATCTAAAATTGAATTATTGGGGTTCTTTGATATTCCAAATCTAACCGTGTATTTAGATTTTTAATTTTGGGTCCTGTTTTTTAAATTGGTCTACATTAAGGTCCAAAGGGTCCAAAATTAAACTTAGTTTGATTTTAACAAAAATTGAATTCTTGGGGTTCTTTGATATGCTGAATCTAAACATGTGTTTAGATTTTTGATTATGGGCCCAGTTTTCAAGTTGGTCCAAGATAGGGTCCAGTATTTAAACTTTGTTTGATTTCAACAAAAATTGAATATATGGGGTTCTTTGATATGCTGAATCTAAACATGTATTTAGACTGTTGATTATGGGCCCAGTTTTCAAGTTGGTCCAAATTGGGGTCCAAAATTAAACTTTGTTTGATTTCAACAAAAATTGAATATATGAGGTTCTTTGATATGCTGAATCTAACCATGTATTTAGATTTTTTATTTGTGGGCCCCGCTATCAAATTGGTTCATATTGAGGTCAAAAGGGTCTAAAATTAAACTTTGTTTGATTTCATCAAAAATTGAATTATTGGGGTTCTTTGATATGCCAAATCTAACCGTGTTTTTAGATTTTTAATTTGGGTCCCATTTTTTAAAATTGGTCTTCATTGAGGTCCAAATGGTCCAAAATTAAACTTAGTTTGATTTTTAACAAAAATTGAATTCTTGGGGTTCTTTGATATGCTAAATCTAAACATGTGTTTAGATTTTTGATTATGGGCCCAGTTTTCAAGTTGGTCCAAGATAGGGTCCAGTATTTAAACTTTGTTTGATTTCAACAAAAATTGAATATATGGGGTTCTTTGATATGCTGAATCTAAACATGTATTTAGATTTTTGATTGTGGGCCCAGTTTTCAAGTTGGTCCAAATTGGGGTCCAAAATTAAACTTTGTTTGATTTCAACAAAAATTGAATATATGAGGTTCTTTGATATGCTGAATCTAACCATGTATTTAGATTTTTTATTTGGGTCCCATTTTTTAAAATTGGTCTTCATTGAGGTCCAAAGGGTCCAAAATTAAACTTAGTTTGATTTTAACAAAAATTGAATTCTTATGGTTCTTTGATATGCTAAATCTAAACATGTGTTTAGATTTTTGATTATGGGCCCAGTTTTCAAGTTGGTCCAAGTTGGGGTCCAAAATTAAACTTTTTTTGATTTCAACAAAAATTGAATATATGGGGTTCTTTGATATGCTGAATCTAACCATGAATTTAGATTTTTTATTTGTGGGCCCCGCTATCAAATTGGTTCATATTGAGGTCAAAAGGGTCCAAAATTAAACTTTGTTTGATTTCATCAAAAATTGAATTATTGGGGTTCTTTGATATTCCAAATCTAACCGTGTATTTAGATTTTTAATTTTAAGTCCCGTTTTTTAAATTGGTCTACATTAAGGTCCAAAGGGTCCAAAATTAAACTTAGTTTGATTTTAGCTAAAATTGAATTATTGGGGTTCTTTGATATGCTGAATCTAAACATGTGTTTAGATTTTTGATTATGGGCCCAGTTTTCAAGTTTGTCCAAGTTGGGGTCCAAAATTAAACTTTGTTTGATTTCAACAAAAATTGAAAATATGGGGTTCTTTGATATGCTGAATCTAACCATGTATTTTGATTTTGGACATTGGACCATAATAGGTAAATTAAAAAAATTCAAGTTCTTAGACCACATTCTTTCTGTGTCAGAAACCTATGCTGTGTCAAATATTTAATAACAATCCAAATTCAGAGCTGTATCAAGCTTGAATGTTGTGTCCATACTTGCCCCAACTGTTCAGGGTTCGACCTCTGCGGTCGTATCAAGCTGCGCCCCAGCGAAGCATTTTATTTAATATTAAAAAATCATTTTCTAATATTAAGAATTCATTTTCTAATATTAAAAAAAATATTTTCTAATATTAAAAAATGATTTTCTGATATAAAAAAATATCGTATTTTTTTAATATTAGAAAAATTATATTTTAATATTAGAAAATGAATTCTTAATATTAAAAAATAGCTCTTTTTGTCCACTTTGTATTGTAATTTTTAATATTTACAGTGTTGAAGCGTCTGAATGAAAGCAGAGACATATATATACGTATAAATGTCTCTGATGAAAGTAATACTTGGGTACAAAATATTTTCTCCCTTCTTTTTTAAAGGTAACACGATACCAAATGGCATATCTCCTGATTTCTAAAATGTTTGGAACCATTTGTACTTTGATTCGAGCAGAGAACGTGTGACATTACTGAATAAAGAATAATGTTATTTTTTTCAGTGGTATTGAAGAAAAATATTTTACGTGATCTGAATGGTGTTTGTTGTTTTATTTTCATTCCCTCTGTCGTAAATTTCCGATAATTCAATATAACATTCTACTGAGTAAATTTTATTTCGTCCTAACTGGGTGCACTTTAGCTTTTCAAAACTGAGTCTTCAACTTAACCATACCAAACTAGAAAAAGGTGATGTCACCGCTGTATCAATGAATGAATAAAATAAAGCTCTTCAAAAATTTGATTTGGTAAACAGTGATGATGCAGTGCAATTTGAATTGATTGATTAGTGGTTGCTTAACGTCCAGTGGCAAATATTTTATGCATTTTCAGGACGATACAATACAATTTGAAATAGTGACACATTTGAGGCATCCGTCAGAAAAGGTTACACATTCTGTTAGTTGTGAAAATCATAAAGAAAATCAACTCCCTGATAAAAAAAACATTCTAAATATAGTATACTCTGTATGGTGTAAACGTGTGAGTTGTGTGCGTAGTTAGTCGGATAAACCTTGCAAACTGTATGTAAAATTTCGCATAAGAATATAAAGTACAACATTCTGTAATTCGTGGAAAATTATAAAAAAAAATCCTGAGAATTTATATGCACCTTCAATATAGGTAAAGCACTCGGCGCAATATTAAAAAATAAAAATCTGACATCTTTAGAATATGAACTAACACCAGGTACATAATTAAAAAGTTTAAGCTTAAAAACTGTAGTCCTAAGAAATCAGCCGTATAAATATATATATACCCTATATACAAAGTGCGGGACGGACTGTCGAACGAACATGGGTAAAACAATATGCTCCCAGCATTTTGTCTAGGGAGCAAAATATATATTAGCATATATGATGATGTTCTATTTTATAAGGCATTTGGTGACAAAATATCTTTTTGAAAAGGCAGTTCATAGTGGAATGGTAATTGGGAGATCTCAAATGTAGCAATGTAAGCACGCTAACATCTATGTCATTTGGTCTTTGATGGAAAGTTGTCTCATTGGCAATC